GGATTAAATTTTTTTGTTGGAAACTTTTGCACCGCCACCTCTCATTGTCGGATTGATCGTCTCAACTAAGAGTGTGCAGTAATGCTACTACTTGTCCCTTTTGTCAATCTAAAGCAGAAACCATTAATCACTTCTTTCTGTGCGTCTTTCCTATTAAATTATGGCAACTCTTTAAGTCTTAACTAGATATTCAATTTTTAATGAGGGGGTGCAGTGTCCCAATTCTGATGGCCAACCCTTGCGGGTTATAAATGATATTGGTCTTTGGTGAATATGGAGGGCTACGAATGATCTTGTTTTCAACCCCATTGCTTGTTCTGTTTACAAGATTTTTCATAAGATAGTAGAATTTGTTCTCTCTAATGACAAGGCCAAATCTTCTGATAGCATGGTGCATGAAATATGTCCATATCCTATTTGTTGGGTTAAATCTTTTGAAGGATGAGTGAAGATGAATCGTGATAGCTTTTCCAACAAGCTACATTGAGGGGATTAGAGTGATACTCGTGACCCATATTAGGAGTGATACTCAAGACCCAATTTTGGTTGGATGTAGGTACCTTGCGGATCTTGATATCATATGTTGTGAAGCTGAGGCAATTCGGGAGGTTTTGATGGCTGCATCAGTGGATGTTCAAAAGATTTATAGTTAATTTGATTATATGTGTATTGTTTCTATGATACACTACAAACATAATATTTTCTGGATGAGGATTCTTGTGAATTGCATCATCAAAAGGGATGTGGATTTATGTAAATCTAATAGTGTGTATAAAGAATATCCTAATGAGCCACAAAAAAGCAATTAAAAAAATTCTAGTACCCTTAATTTCATCTTATTCAATTTTGAACTTAACTAACAAATCGATCATCCCTCTTTGGGAGTATTCTATCTAAAGTTGTTTTGGCTTTGGAAGCTTGATGATTAAGGTTTCATTTTGTGTAATTCTGCTTATTAATATTTGTATTGTCAGAAGGATGATTCTATGATGAATGGGGACAGTTGGCATACGTTGTGAAAATTATCAATATTACCGAACGTTAGTATATTTTATTAGAGAGAAGTGTGGCCCTCTCAATTGGTCAATTTTTTGTGCTCTGATATGCACAACTCCTTTTGTAATTTTATGGTTTAGCTAATATAATTTTTTTTTTGGAGAAAAAAAATCAGTCGTCCTAACTTATCCAAAATGTAGCTTGAATATATATGTTTCCGAATTGCAATTATCCCAAACTTAACTAAGAAGTATCTTGATATCTGATGTAGGCATCTACAAAACCCAACCTCACCATCCTGACACTCTATTTAGCATAGCAGCTTCAAGAGCCTTTCTCAAGTTGGCAAGACTGAAAAGAGTGAAAGTTGCAAATAGCTAATATAATTTTGTAACACATACCAGCAACTTGCAAATTGCTTTGAACTACTGTTAAGCAAGGATTTCTGTTTTTGCATAGATAATACTGGCTTGAGTCCCAGGGCTATTACAATACACGTTCATTTACAAAGGCTTACATATATTTCAGAATAAAGGATTCTTAGAAGAAGCAAGCATAGTACAATACACGTTCATTTACAAAGGCTTACATATATTTCAGAATAAAGGATTCTTAGAAGAAGCAAGCATAGTACAATACACGTTCATTTACAAAGGCTTACATATATTTCAGAATAAAGGATTCATAGAAGAAGCAAGCAATCGTCATACAATCAAAGTGGAATAGGATGTACGAGTAACAAAGAGATATATTCCTTCGTCTTCGTAGAGGAGTTGGTGTATCCATCAATGTACTTATAAGTATTTTCTGATATTCGTGAATAATTAATAATCCTTTCAAGTAAAGCAATGGAGAATGTCGGATTGAGGCACTCTTCATTTATCTCCTTCCATGCATCGTCAACTAGACCTTGGAGTTTCTTACATGCCACATGCACATCTGTTCCGTACTCTTTCATGTAGCATTGGACTGTGGAGGCAACATGTTCCCTAGTTTGTTCCAACTGCAAATTTCATGAAAAAAGAGGACTAATGATCTACAAACTGAATTCTAAGGGATCATTTCAGGATTTACATGTTCATATATTAAAACAAATTGATACTATTATCAATAATAAGGTGTAGATGAAGGGAATTTGGGAATCTACAGATGTGGAAGCTTACGAATGGGAATTTTTTTGTTTGTACTAGATTTCTTAATGTAAAATCATGTAAGTTCAGCAAAACTTTGATAATGCAATTGAGTGACACAAGAAATGCTTTTGAGGTGATAAATACAAGGAATATTGAAGACAACCTTTGGAGATTACCTATTAAACCTCAATTATGGTCCATCTCATCTAATTGGAGAATGTATGTTATTTTTTTTTTTATTTATGTTATCATATTTCTACTATGAGAGATATCAGTGCAAAATTTACTATGAAAAATGTTTATATGATATAAAACACAGCAGATTATATTATGACTATACCTCATGTGAAGTAATGTCATTCATGATACGACCAATTATTGCAGAAGCTTGGACAATCTTTGGGAAACTAGTAATCCACTCAAATGCCTCCTTAGTTGCTATTTCTCCCATTCCAACAAAAGAAGCACATTCGAGCATAGGACATGCTGAACTTATGAGGGAAACATGTAGATGTTCTTCCAAAGTTGGTACGTAATGTTGATCTCTCCATTTGGATTCCTCAAAATAAGCTTCAGATAAATCTTTCATCTGTACCCAAGTAAAACAAAACCATTCCTTAATGTTTGTAATGCAT